TGTGATACAGCCTCCCGTTCCACATCCAGTCACTAATCCAGTCCTCATAGGTCGCTACATACATTCCTTTCCACTGCGGCAACGGGCCCACCTTGAATGATGAACGTTTGGTGGGCCTGCCTCTCAGGCGACACCCCGTTTTGCAAAGGTTCCATCCGCTAACATTTCAGCTGAAAATAAGATTCAAGGACGTATCCAGCGATAGATCGCCTCGCTTTGAGAACGGTCAGACCTCCACCCGTGTAAGTGTTGCACAGTGTCAAAGTTCTGGTTATAAGATGTTATTGCGCCCTGGATGCGTAGTATATGTGGTGCAATCTACGCGGTGTAATTAATTTCTGTTCGCAGTGAGTTGTCCACTCCACTGCTCGCGCAAACATCCCACCCACCCTCCCGCAATTTGGTTTGCAAAATATCTTAAGACCGTGACGGTGGGTACCAAATGACACCTGGCAACGACAGCGACGCCGACGACGACAGCGACAACGACGACGACGACACCGCCGACAACGACTACGACGACACCGACGACGTCTCCAACGGCATCGACGACGCCGACAACGAAGACGACGACACCGACGACGACGACGACGCCGACGCCGACGACGACGACGACGATGACAACGACGACGACGATGACGACGCCGACGACGACGACAACGACGACACCGACGACGACGACGTCAACGACGCCGACGACGACGACGACGACGACGGCGGCGACGACGACGACGCTGACGTCGACGACGACGAAGGCGACGACGCCGACGCCGACGACGACGACGAAGACGACGACGACGTCGCCAACGAAGACGACGACGAGGGAGGAGGGAGGAGCGAAGACGACGACGGCGACAACGACGACAACGACGACAACGACGAGGGAGCAGGGAGGACGGCGACGACGCGAACGACGAAAAAGGAGGAAGGACGGTGACGCCGACGACGACAACGACGAGGGAGAAGGGAAGACGACGACGACGACAGCGACGACGACGACGACGACGGCGACGAAATAGGAGGGACGACGACGGGACGCCGACGACGGACGACGACGACGACGAGGGAGGAGGAGGAAGGACGACCACGGCGACAACGACGACGGAAACGACCACGACGCCAAAGAGGACGACGACGACGAACACGAGGAAAGACAGAGGACGACGTAGGCGACGACGACGACGACGCGGGAGGAGGGAGGACGGCGACGACGACGACGACCACGCAAGAGCGCGCGCGTACGCTTTCGTTGAAAGTCCGTGTTGCGAAACATTGTTTTTTTGTGTGTTTTTTGGACACGATTTTGAAATGTTTCCGAAACCGTTGGGTTTTGGAGGATTTCGGCATACGCGCGCGACGACGCGCGCGTCTGCACGTCATCCCGTTTTTTGCAGCGGATTTTCGCGACGGCACACGCGCAAGGGCGTTCGACAGATTTCGACATGCGCGCGCGAAGCCCGTTTGGTAGCATTTTGTGAAAATCTAGAAAAACCGATGATTTTCCTAAGTTTTCGCAAGAGCTCGCGCGTAAGCTTTTTTAGCAAATCGGTGTTGCGAAGCCCTGTGCTTTTGCATTTTTGGGGGAATTCGATTGCGATTGCGAAATCCTTCCGTCACCGAAGGTTTTTGAAGGCATTCGGCATGCGCGCGCGACGACGCGCGCGTGTGCGCACTTCGTCCCTTTTTGTTGCAAGGGATTCGTGAAGAAGTCCTATGTTAGAACAGAAGATGTCCCCGCTTATTGTTTTTCACAAGGGAACCTCAGGGGGGCCGATACCGGCCTCCCTGGGATAGTGTAAATTCATATTTAGGATGGTGATGTGGTCAGGATCATCTATGATTTAGGTTGAGGGGAAGCAGAGATGTTCAGAACGAGCGGTTCGTTAATATTTTTTCTCGAACGATGTTCAGGTCAGCCCTGCGGCCCCAAGTCTGGGTCTTCATCCTTCTGCAGGCTTTGGCGAGCGGCAGTGACAGTAGAGAGTGGCTGGCTTTGGTGCAGGACCGGCCCCTATGGTACAGCCACAGCGAGACTTCGTGAACTGGACCGGGAGGCTCTACTGAGCACCATCTCGGTGCCGCCCCCCACGGGCTTTAGTCGGCCTTCCTTCCTTCCTTTTTTCCTTCCTCTTGCTCGCGTGGGTCGCTCGCCCGCCACGGCCCGAGGAGTTCTTCCCCGACGCGGGCAAGACGGGAGAGCGCCTCACGGAGAGCGAGGTGACCCCCGGCTTCAAGGTCGCGCTGCACGCGGACGACGTGGAGGGGAAGGGGGAAATCCTCGTCGTCGACATCCACTGTGTTCCTCTCCTTCTCCTCCTCCTTCTCCTCCTCCTCCTTCTCCTCCTCCTCCTCCTTCTTCTCCTCCTCCTCCTCTTCCTCCTCCGTAGCCAGTTTGGCTCATGCCGCGTGCTGGGTCGGGGCCCCAGACGCGCTCCTCTCTCCGCTGCATGTCAATGGCTGCTGGCGGTGCGCCGGAGGTGTGCATGTCCATCGGGTGAGATGGCCCGCCAGCGCTCGTCGACGACTCGCGTAGCGCGTGCTCGACGTGCTTGCCGCCTGGGTTGTCTGCATGCTCCTCTTCCTGGCCATCGATTCATCGCTATGCCTGCTGCTCTTCGTGCGAATGCTGAGTTTTTGTGTCAGGGAATTGCTCTGCGCGCTCGTCTGCAGTCTGATAACGGTGCTCGCTCTCATGGGCTTCCTCACGCTGCTCCTCTTGCGCGTGATCGAGTGGGGGGGTGAAGAGGTTCGTGCCCAGATCTCCGAGGATATGACGCATTGGTTTGGGGAGTTTTCCCTCGACTTCGGCCTCGGGGCCGTCACTGGGCCCCAGGACCACAAGACATCTATCCAGGACGAGTTCCTGCCCCTGGGGAAGCGGTCGGGACTGTTGAGGCTGCGGACTGAACAAAATCATTCCAGCGGATGTCAGGGTTCGAGTGGGTCCTCATCTTCGAGGAGGAGGAGGAGGAGGAGGAGGAGGAGGAGGAGGAGGCGGACGAGGAGGAGGAGGAGGAGGAGGAGGAGGAGGCTGAGGAGGAGGAGGAGGAGGAGGAGGAGGCGGAGGAGGAGGAGGCGGACGAGGAGGAGGAGGAGGAGGAGGAGGGAGGAGGAGGAGGAGGCGCGTGATGCGGCGGCTGCTCATCTTCGTGTTCACGTTCAGGCTGGCAGGGCCGAGCGTCGGGAGCCCGCGGTGCCGACCGAAGCGGCCGTCGTCCTGCCGGCTGTGGTGCGCACCACGTTGGTGCTGCAGGATCTTCTCTCTCGGCGCGGCTCTCTTCCCGTTGTGCCTGTGGGCAATTGTAGGGTAATGATTCAGAGCCCCGAATCATCAGGGGTAACTCGGGTCAGGGCTAACTCGGGTTCCTTTTTCGGGAATCCGAGCCCGAGTTACCCCGGGCCCGAGTCACCCCGGATCACTCGGGCGCCCAAATGATTTACAGAAGGTGGCAGCTTTCATTTCTTCTATTGCTGGTGGTGCAGCCCCTGGGGCAGATGGAGACAATGAGCGGCGTGACCGTGTTGGTCCTCAAGTTGTCGGCGTCCCCTCGCCGCCGTGCATGACGTCTCACTTGGCTGATCGTCGCGTTTGTCAATATGCGGCTGCTGCGCCTGCTGCAGCTGGTCTTCCTGAAGGTGTGGATGCCGGATCTGGAGGTCATGCTTTGCGTCATCGTGAGCAGTGTGGCCATCGCCCGACGCTACCGGTTATGGTTGCTGATTCTCGTGATGATGTTGAAGCTTCGTTTTCGTCGTTGCCTTGTGTGGCTGCTGATCCTTCCTGTATTGTGCATGTTCCACTTTGTGCCGCGATGCCTTGGGTGGCTGCTGATCCTAACTGTGGTGAACCTGTTCCTCATCGTGACCTGCTTGATCGTTGTGTTCGTCAACATGCGGCTGGTCTTCCTGATGGCGGGGACACTGGATTTGGAGTTTGTGCTCAAGTTTCGTCTTCCTCGCTGCCTGGTTGGTGCGGCTACTGATATTCCCTGTGTTGTGCGTGTTCCTCTTGTGATTTGGCTGATCGACGTGCTCATCTTCCTGGTGTTGTCCTGCACGCTGGTTATGGGTGTGTACAACGCCCGCCTCCCCCTGGCGTGGCAGATGGTGCTCACGTCGAGGATGTAGCGGCTGCTAGTCTTCTTGCTGGCCGTGCCCTTCCCCAGGATGTCGGCGATTATGTTAAGCCATTGGTGGCCGTCAGTGTCTGCGAGCAGTTTGACACGCTTCCGCGATGCGATCCCTGGTCTCATCAATGTTTCCCTTGACACGGCGGAGAGTACTTCCAACAAGCAGGTGCTGTCTTCCCTGGGCAACTTGCGGCGGCAGCTGGAAGAGGCTCTTCCCGCTGTTCGTGATGAGCGCCGTGCTGACGATCTGCCTGAAGCTCGTGGTGTTCCTCTTGACTGTGCCGCTGGGCGTGGCGCATGTCGTACTGGTATCCCTGATGGTCGTGACCGCTGCCGCTGCTGGTGGCGTGCGGCGCAGGTCGTTGCTCGGTTTCGGCGTTGGCAAGGGCCGATCTGACTGTGAGAACATGCTGCGTCACCCCGGTGGACGTGATGAGCTTTGGCATGATGAATTATGTGCTCAAGAGCAGCGCCCACTGCGCTCCGAACAACGTGTGCTCGACTTCGTGCGACCGATCGCTGAGCGTGTGCGCAAGATGGGCGAGCAGATCCACCTTCTTCAAGATCAACTTCGGAATGCTGGCATGTGTGGTCCTCCTCTTCCTGCTGCTGATCATTCTGATCTTGCTGATCTGTTTCCTGGCGGTGCGGGTGGCTCTGGCGGATTTCGGGTATCCCTCGACCGATCGCAGGCTGTTGCACATTTGGCCGCTGCTGCGAGTGGCGCTGCTCAGACTTGTCCTGATGCTTGCGCTGCGGATGAGCCCCAAGATTGTGTACATGTTGGCGCCGCCTGTGCCGGAGTGGCCGCTGTTGAGCGCGGTGTCTCTCTTCGACTTCTTGGTGGTGTTCGCGATTGTCCCTCAGTGAGACATCGCGTTCAGAATTCGGCTCGTCGGCTTTTTCGACGCGCAGGGCTTCTACAACTCCACTTCTGCAACACGGCGCTTGCTAATCTGACGGATTCTCTCGCTCGCCAAGCGGCTGCATTACAGAGGTCTTCAATGTGTACTTCAGCTACTTCTGACTCTTCAACGACGTCTCCGAGTGGGAGGTCTGCCCATCGACTCCTTCTTCTCCGAGGGCTCCGTCATCTGCTCCGTCGTCATGCGATACCGACGTTCTGCTGCCACCGACTGGGTGCTTTGAGTTGTTGGCCGAGTCCGAGGCGCCCCGCCCGCCGCCGCGGTAGTCGGGTGCGGACCCGCGCTCCCTTTACGCCCGACCCCTCCTCCTCCTCCTCCTCCTCCTCCTCCTCTTCCTCCTCCTCCTCCTCCTCCTCCTCCTCCTCCTCCTCCTCCTCCTCCCTCCTCCTCCTCTCTCCTCCTCCTCCTCCTCTCCTCCTCCTCTCCTCTCCCTCCTCCCTCCTCTCCTCCTCCTCCTCCTCCTCCTCCTCCCTCTCCTCCTCGCTATGTTGATCCTGGAGCGTCTTTTGACGCTTAGCGGCGCCTAGGGACCGTCCTCTTCCTCCTCCTCCTCCTCCTCCTCCTTCTCCTCCTCCTCCTCCTCCAGCACGCCTTTTCCTAACTGGGAGGGCGGTTCGTTTTTGGGCACCACTCGAAGAGGTTGGGATGGGGAAGGGAGACGGAGGGGCAGACGGAGGGAGAGGGACTGACGGAGGGACACAGGGAGAGGTGGGGCGGCAGAGAAAAAGGGGAACGGCTAAGGATAGATATGGGGCGGGGAATGAGAGGGACGGAGGGTGATGGAACGAGGGGGGCTGGGGAGGAGGGTAGGGAGGAAAAGGGGGGGAAGGAAACAGGAGACATGGCAGAGAGGGCGCGGATCGGGGGGGCGGGAGTGAGGAAGATCGATTTCTTGTTCTTCTCTTCTTCTTCGTTTTTAATTATTAGTACTATTTGTTGTCCTCCTCCTTTTCCTGGTCCTCCTCCTTCTCCTCTTCTTACGCTGATCTTCTCCTCCTCCTCCTCCTCCTCCTCCTCCTCCTCCTCCTCCCTCACCTGGAACCGCTCAGAAGCCCGAGAGCTCACCTGAACCTCCCAGGGCCCCCTCCTCCGCCGTTCCGCCCTGGAGGGCGCGAGGGATGTCCAGAGATCAGGCCACCAAGGATCGCCGGATACTTCCCGAGCTGCCCGGCCTCTGGATGTTTCTGGGGCCTCCAGGGCCCCCCCCCACCCGACACGGCCAGGACCATGCGCAGACTTCCAAGGAGGAGCAGGAGGGCCTCCGGAGGTTCTGAGGCTTCCAGAGGGGGTCCCAAGACGGCCGGAGACACGCAACCAGCGTGGAGACGCAGGTGGGGGAGGAGGAGGAAGAGGATGATGATGATGATGATGAGGAGGAGGAGGAGGAGGAGGAGGAGGAGGAAGAGGAATAGGAAAAGGAGGAGGAGAAAAAGGAGAAAGAGGAGAAAGAGGAGGCAGCAAAGGAGTAAATGGAAGAAGGGGGAGGGAGGCGAAGACGATGGTCTGGATGCAGACGTTCTGCATGGAGAAGGCGGGCTCCGACGACCATATCCCCTGGGCCTGGCGGTGCACTCTGGGCTCCCCTGCGACGCGAGGAAGAGGAGGAGGAGGAGGAGGAGGAGGAGGAGGAGGAGGAGGAGGAGGAGGAGGAGGAGGAGGGCGGTCCCGAAAAAGCAGCAAAAGGAGGTACAGGAGGGGAGGGAGACGTTGTGCAAACCTCCCCCTCCTCCCTCTCCTCCTCCGCCTCCCCTTCCCTCAAGAGTCGATCCATGGCCAGGGTTTTAACGCGGATCCACCCGTTGCTCTGATAGGCCGCCTGGAAGTTTGACAGCTCTCGATCCTCCTTCCTTCTCGTGGTCCTCATCCCCCACCCTCTTGCCCTCCCCTTCTTACCGTACCCTGTCCCCTTCCTCTCCAATCCTCCTCCTGCGGGGGGCCTTCTCCTCCTCCTCCTCTCCTCCTCCTCCTCTCCTCCCCCTCTTTCCCTTCCTACTCCTCCTCCTCTTCTGACTGACCTTCGGCTCTGTGGACATCGGCAAGCTGCACCCGGCTCCCTGGAACATCATCGACAACGCGCGGCTCAACCGCAATGGGGGCAAGAACGCGGATGAGGTGCGACATGTTTTGGCGGAGGCGGGGGAGATGCAAGAGGGGGAGAGGAGAGGAGAGGAGGGGCGGAGGAGGAGGAGGAAAGTAGGAGATGGAGGAGGAGGAAGAGGAGGATGAGAGGAGGAGGAGGAGGAGGAGATGGAGCAGGAGGAGGAGGAGGAAGAGGACGCGCAGGGAGAGGAGGAGGAGGAGGAGGAGGAGGAGGAGGAGGAGGAATAACAAGAAGACGGACGAGCAGGAACACGGGAACTGGATTGGCCTGCCTCTGATGAGGTGGAGAGAAAAGAGGCGATTGACACGGATGCACGCGCAAGGCATGCAAGAAGGGCGAGCACGCTGTCAGTCATGATATCTACGCACCCGAGCGTGAAGCACGCCTGCCATAGGGCCACCTTGGACGGGCAGGGCCCCCTCATGCGACGTCAGAGTGTGGCCTTTCTTTTGTTCCCCGGCCGGCAGCATCAGCATCGCCGACAACAACACCACCAACACAGTCAACACACAGCCGTTATTTTCACCAGAGGCTCGTGGCAGAGGCCGTCTTCGGCTAGCACTGGACCGCCTGGCGCGCTGCACTTGTGGGCGAGTATGCGCCAGACAATTTACAGAATATAGCGCACGAAGAACGGTATAACATAAACTGTTCCGCCGTCGGGGACGCCTGCCTCAGGGCGGCTGGAAAATGTATACCCCGACGTGCCACCATAAGGGTATAAACCTTCCAGCCGTTTCGGGGCAGGCGTCCCCGACGGCGGAATAAAGTTTACTGTGCACCGGTCTTCGCCCGCTAAAGAACATGTAGACACCCACAGGCTGGTTGGGAACAAAGGGCGCCCATGAGGGCCCGAAGAGACAGCCTGAAGAGTCCCAAGAGGCCCACCGCACCCCTCAAAATCGGACCCTGCCAACCACGATACGAGACGCGCGCCATGAGATGGCCTCAAGACGACCCAAAAGTTCCCAAGGACATTCAGGGAGCCCAAGAGGGCCCCACGATGGCCCCCAGATGGCCCCAATGGCGCTCCTCGCCGCTGGCCGGAAGCTGCCGCCGCGCCACGTCTGCACGTGTACGCTTTTGCGCGACTCATCTTCTTCGCGTGGCTGGGGAGCGACGTGGGGCATGGGGGAGGGATGGACCTTTCCCCAGAGGGGGAGGGGATATTGCCATTAAGAGCTGATTTGCCTGCGCCCTCAGGGTTGGTGGGTGGCACGAAGGCGAGAGGCGCGTGCTGAAGAGGAGCCGCCCGCCATCCGTGGAGACTTAGGATCTATTCCAAACAGATGTGCGCGGGGCTGATGCAAGAGGAACATGTTGAACACCAGCCGCCGGCCATTCGTGTAATTGTTGGGGGCGCTGGGCATGGAGGTGGGCGCTGGTAAGGTGATAGGCGCAGCTTGAAACCAGCTTGTGCTGCACGTTCAACGGATATGTCTGTCTTCGTCTTGAAGACCACTTGTGGCCTTTTGCTGGTACTTGTTGGAACATCCGAGCTCTAGGGTCATCACATGTTGGAAGGCTCCAGTCGGACCGACACGTCTGCTGGTGCGACGAAGAGGGGTTACATAGTTGTTTTAGCATGGGACGGATGAGGCAAGAGGAAGAGCAGGTGCAGCTCGTCCTCAAGCACATCTGCACCCGCAGTTTCCTTACCAAACACATCGTGTTCGGGGACAACCCGACAAACGTACCCTTCGGCGACGCCGCTGCGTTGCAGAAGATCCTGCGGAACGAGATGCCAAATGCCAGCAACACCGCTGTGGCAGAGGAGTTTGACGAGTATACTGTGCTATCCAGGTGCCTGCGACAAGGCCCGCCAGCGTGCCGGCCCAGCATTCTGGGCGGCGACTGGTTAGAGGGGGGGCAGGAGGCCGTGACGTGTGACACCTCGCGCCCCGTGGTTTAAAACAGTCGTAATACGTGGCGCACTCTTTCGCGTCGTGTCGGGGGTTGTCTTCTCGTCTTCGTCGTCGTTCTCCTTCTCGTCCATCCATTTTGGGGCTCCTGTGGGGCAGCCTTGGGGGTCCCTTGGGACCTCTTGGACCGTTTTGGGGCCCTCTTTGCCGTCTGGCGTGCTTCTTGAGGCCGTTGTGGGACCGTCCTTAGGCCATCTTGGGCCAACGAAGGGCTCTCTGAGGCCGTCTTGGGTTCGATGGACCCGCGCTTACGAGGCTACGATCCGCGCTACCGCTCAGGCCACCAAGACCGACAAGACAGTCAAATATGCTTCCAAGATGGCCAAAGACAGCCCAAGACGGCCGAGGAGGCCCCCAGGACGGCCGAAGAGGGCGACAAGAGAACCCCTAGTATGGCCCGAAGAGGCCAAACGTATGGCTCTTCCAAGTGTGTTTGCAAGACTCCGGTTTTGGGGGTTCTCTCGGGCCCAGGCGGCCCTGATGGCCTCCAAGGTGGCCCCAAGGCGGCCTAAGAGGGCCCCACAATTGCCAATAATCGGCTTTCAAGACGCGACAGGGGAGCCCCTACACGCCAGACGGCCCATGGTTGGGTAAGAGGCATCGTGGGCTCAGCAGAGCAGACCACGGGTTTTTTACGAAGGATCGTGGCCTCGGTAAGGGGTCGATGCGCGCAGCACTCCGCTGATCGAGGGGGGCGCCCGTTGGAGGATTCCAGAAACACAGACAGCACTTAGCCTCGCCTCAACGTGCCAGAGGGCACGGTGGCGGATCTGGGAACCCAATGGTCGAGATCATCGCCGAGGGGGTGGAAGCCTCACACAGAACAAGGACCAGGCGCATCGCTCGAAGGGCCCGCTCGCTGCCTGAGCAAGCGAACGATGCACTGCCAACCTGGTGCTATCCATCGTCCTTCTCTGTTCT